TTTGTTCTTCCAACTTTGCTTTAGTCTTTTCACCAGAATACTATTGCAATTTTATCGTTTCAATAGGCGCGGTTGTGGCTAGAGAAACACTATCGGCGATTCAAAGCGCGGCTTAGCGGCTTATCGGCAGTCCAAACACACGATCCTCATCAACGTGCGCGGGCGCAGGGCAGCAGTGATGACGGATCGATCTTTTGTCTATACTGGGTTGCGAATAAACGACGCACTCAGGGCCTTCGTTTATTCCCGATAGATGTATCTAGCAGACGCACTCAGGGCCTTCTTCTAGACACTGTGACTTCGAGACGCTCTCAGGGCCTTCTCTCCGACACTGTATGTAAAGACGCACTAATGGCCTTCTTTATCACACGTTAAGAACACAAGGTTCCCCCTCAAAATTGGCTCACCATTTCAATACTCAATTCAAGACCTCTAAAATAATGATGAGGTACATGGGGTATTTATAGTTGTAAAATAAATCTAGTCCTAAATCTAATAGATCTCCTAAATCATGCAAGAATAGAAATCCTAAGTCTAGAAAGCAAATAAATCCTAAACCTACCAAAATACTAATGCTTGGCTATCACACCAAGCAAATCTAGAATGCTCCCTAATTCATCACATGCTAAAACTCTCGGCCCTCTTGCACGCCCGCCGCCTCACGCATCGCGTCGCACGTTCGCTATTCCTAGTCCTCGGCGGACTCGGCGCCCTGCACGCGGTCACCATTCGCGTGCACTGTCGTGCGCACATTACTCGTGTCGTCCGTCCCGCGTGCGTGCCCGTCACCTCCCAGCACTCCTACGCCCGCTAGGACTCGATCGTCCGCTCCTGCCAGCGCATCATTCGTGTCGCCTAATCCTTCGCAGCTTAGGACTTCACCCGCGTCGCCCATACTCGCGCGCTTGTCGCGCGCCTCGTCCCTGTCGACTTCCTCGCGCGCGTCTTCGCCAACGCCCCAGCCCTCATCGCCTACGGTGCACCCCACCGCGCCTGCTCTTTTGCGCGTTGCGTCCATCGCCCGCGGGCTCCGATCGCCTCCTGCGCATTCCCGTGCACCCGCTGCGTTGCGCGTACCGCCAACCACCGTGGCTTGCTTGTCTACCGCGCACCCTCTCGCGTCCATCGCATCCGATACCTGGCCCGGCACATATTCGCGCGCATCACGGCCCGATGCGCGCCCCACGCCCGATAGCCGATCTTCCTCGACCCTTCTGCCGTCCAGCTCCGTTGGCTCGCCCGTTGGCCATGGGTCCCATCCATCCATCCCGATGCAATCACCAACTCTCCAAATCCAACCGTCCTCCATTCTACTCGTACCTCCCCTTCGAGCCACCGTCCTGCGAACTCGCCTTTTCCTCGCACAAGGCTTGCACCAACACTTTTCTTCTTTTGCTTTTGCCTTGCCTTTCCTTCGAGTTCTTTTGATCTTGCACCTCTTAGGCTTCAACCCAGCTTTTGGACCACATCCTTTCGGCCAATCCCTTACACAAGATGGCCGGTGAATAGGACTAGATGGCTTTTCCAACATGTTTTCTAACCATAAAACGAGATCATTGCCATCATCATTGTCGGACTCACCGGGGTTGATGACCACTTCCGTATCATTCCCCTCCTCTTCGAGACTTTCCTTGTCCTCAAGGATTAAGAAGTTAAGCTCTCTTTCAACCTCATGGCCATTAGCATCGATCACCATTGCTTCTCGGGCTTCCATGAGTTGTCTTTCACGATCCTCCCAATCTCTACGTTCATGAAGCTCCTCCAAAAATTCTTGCTCCC